GAACACTTGAAGTCTCCAATGAATCTGGCTGTCCACGGTCAGAGTGTCCATATCTCCTCAGGCTGAGGGTCTCAGCCCCAGAAAAGTTTGAAGCCTGGCCCCATTGTGAAGGGGCAGGTTTGGTCTCACTTTGCATGGCCGAAATCCGGGAATTGAAATGGGTTAACATTCAATTCTTCCATGTCATTTATCATTTGCTGTTCCCTAGCTTTCCATCCAGCCTCCTTCGGTCTAGTTTGCACTGATAAAATGTACAGATTTGTAGCAAAGCTAATGCCTGAGTCACATCATGATGCCTGCAATGTAATATGGCATTTTTCCTATCCGGTTACTGACAGGATGCAATCATTTATAGGCCCCTTTGCATGTAGAGTTTCCGTCTTGCCTCCTCTTTCTGATAATAGGTTCTGCGTCTGCCATTTTCTTCTGCCCTAGTGCCCTTTTAAGGAATTTCTAGCATCCAGTGTGATTAAAGTTGTACAGGAATGATCCTTTAACGCACGCAGATGGAGAGCGAGAGATATCACGGGGAAAATGCTGGATTTATTTATGGTCTCCAGACATCATGGAAACAATACCTGTTCCTGACCCTCGCCAAGCCTCTGGAAGTTCTATTCTCAGAAGAAAAACAGTCAAAATAGTCAAGCTGTAATTCAAAGACATGCGCCTCCCAGACTAGGCACCAGGGGCCTCTGTCGAAGCTATCATCGTAGGTCAATGACACTTAAAACTGACTCGGGGACTATTTAGAGGCAGGCGAAGGATGTATTTGATCCATCACCACTTTTAATCAGTCTTTCCTGCTTCTTGATGGGGCCACTGCCTCTAACCGCCCTGCTCCCCAAAGAGCCATAAATGCTAGAGATATAGAACGGCTTCATGGCAGTAATTTGTCTGGTGACACTTGTACAAAGATCCAAGCCAGCAGTGCAGCCGACTGTTCCCTTCTAATGGTCACCTGTTGCTCTCAGTGACGTGATCCCCAAATTACTGCTAATCAGGGAATCATGCACAGAGATTTTTAAATATTTTAATCCTAACAAGGGCCATGCCACCCATGAGAGACTTTAGCCTCAAAGTACTTTGTGATAGATCCTTGCTTTCTACTTGAGCCTTCTTTGAAATGCTTCCCCGCTCTCCCTGCAAAGAAAGACCAAAAAAATGGTATTTTCTCATGAACCATTTCACTTGAAACCTGTTCCTCACATGGATGGGGTGGCGGGGGGGGAAGGAAAGCCTGCGCCCTCATGAATCCTTAGCAGCCCCCATTTATTATGGCTCCAGCGAGAGAAAAGGCCAGGAATGAACCCCTCAATGCCTTCATTATGTGTCTCTTGCTTTCATGGTCCCATGAGCCTTTTCAAGCACTGAAGTCACTGCCCCTGCTTTGCAGTCTCCTGAATATTTCTCTGTAATTTGAGCAGCACTACCAGGTTCTCACTCAGAGACCTTGAAGTTCTTCAGCGTGTCATCTTGTTGGGCTCATTTGATCTTCCCAATTCCTCTTCCATTTTATATTCTTTCAGTTGGCAGCCGGAGAAAGTTTTTATCTAATTCTTCAACTCTGGCTTCAGTCAATAGGTCTCGCTTGCTCACTATATTTTATGTACTCTCAGTTTAAAGCACTGGCACACTTGAGCCCAGGCCATTAAAGAAATGGGCAGTATTTAAAGCTGACTTTGATTTCAGTACATTTTTTTCTTCCTTTCTAATTTTTTTTTAAAGCAGAAGGATGGCTAAAGGGATAAACCAATCAATACCTAGACAGACCAGTATTATTGTACTGCTCAACCAAAGCAGGGTGCTGAGTGTCGTGCAAACACTGGTAAGAGATAGCCCCTGCCCCAACGAGCTCACAATCTAAATAGACCAGGCAAACAATGAGAGGAAGGATGGAATATTATCCCCATCTGACAGATAAGAAACTGAGGCACAGAGAAAGGAAGTAACTTGCCCAAGGTCACACAGTAGGTCTGTGGCAGAGCCAGGAATTGAACAAAGACCTCCAGAGTCAAGATCCTCCATCCCCTCAACTGAGAGTGCAGTAACAGTGTGTGAAGTAATTTGGGGTCCATGTCACAAGAATCTCCCACTTGTACCTTTGTTGGCAGTATTAGCAGAGATGTCTACAATTCAATGGGTCATGGAGACATCTATGTCCCCCCAAGGGTGGCTCTGGCAGGTCGGGATTGAGACACTTTAGTTGGGCAGAGCCAGGGAAGCCTGCACTGCTGCTGCCAGTCGTGCATGTGAGTGAAAATGCGGGAAGGAATGTGGTCTCCGGAATAGGAACTCACGTACTACACTGACTGGAACATGGAGAACAGAGATGGACAAAGCTCTTCATCACAACATTTCTGACCAAACAAATGTTCCTATACTAATAATAATAATTCCATTTTCATTGATCTTTGGAGGGTTTTCATTGGGGGGGAAATCATTCATTTTCAGTTGCCAGATTTTCAGTTAATATCCAAAAATGTTGAAGAAATGTTCTGATGAAAACTATAAAGGTCATTAACAGGGGGAAAAAATAACTTCCCAACATGGAGGAATGGATGGATTTATCTGTCAGATCCCTCGCATGGCACAAATATACTCAAAATTAATTTGCAAGATTTTGTGAAGTACAAAGTCCTGTGATGCCCCATTTAGTCCATACCTCTGGCAATTCAGGATTGTTCCCTACAGCAGTGTTTCCCAAACTTGGGATGCCGCTTGTGTAGGGAAAGCCCCTGTCGGGCTGGGCCGGTTTGTTTACCTGCCGCGTCCGCAGGTTTGGCCGATTGCGGCTCCCACTGGCCGCGGTTCGCTGCTCCAGGCCAATGGGAGCTGCTGGAAGCGGTGGCCAGAACGTCCCTCAGCCCGCGCCACTTCCCGCAGCTCCCATTGGTCTGGAGCAGTGAACCACGGCCAGTGGGAGCCGCGATCGGCTGGACCTGCGGATGCGACAGGTAAACAAACCGGCCCGGCCCGCCAGGGGCTTTCCCTACACAAGCGGCGTCCCAAGTTTGGGAAACACTGCCCTACAGGGTATTTTCTAGTGCTTTGGTCAGTCTAGTTTTTAATTTTCCAATTTTAATATTTAATGTTCTATATGTGCAAAGGTGAAGGTGTGCCACTTTCTGCAAAAGCACCGTTATAAGGTTCCTTTCAGTGCCTAAAGTCTGAATTCCCCTCTCCCCAACCCCCCAAAGACATCTGTCCCTCTCCGATTGAGGAAGCCCAATAAAACGAAATGGGACATCTCCCCGAAGAGCACAGCACCTGGAGTAGACCTACAAGTTATTTTAAAACACCTCTCCTAATACAAACGCTGGGCTGCAGGATTTGAGGCAGAAGCTACAGGGATTTCTGAAGGAAGCTGAGCTGATAATAATTAATATGTCTGGTTCAAAAGCAATTATGCCAATTATGTCTTTAATTTAATCACTGCAAAATTTGGGACTCTTAGCAAATGTGAATAAACAGCTCTAAAAGTATTAGCATCTCTCCTGACGAGAGTCCCCTCAGGATCCTGGCTGAGTGAGCTCCATTAAAAGCTGTATTTACCCATCCATCTTAGGCAGGGCTTTCAGCTGTGACTGCTGTGCAGAGAGGCGACGGTGCAACATGCTGTTGATTTTGTCTGTAAACTGTTGGGCTAGGCACGAGAACAGACCTGTGCAATGAACAGACTCCTACATTCACTACCTGCACTGGGTCTGCATTTGCTGAAGCCAAGCTGCAAGCTGCAATACTTGTTGGGGCTGTGAACAGTGCTTCTGTTAAGTAGCCCGCTGGCGCCTCCCCTGGCTCAGCAGGTATTTGCTGTGTTACGCTCATCTCAGCTGCAAGTAAGCCTTTGCAGAGCTAACCCAATGACAGGGAAGAGGGGTTACACTTCCCCAGGTTGCTAGGTGCTGAAATGGAGCATCTTGTATAGTCCTTCCTTATACTCTTGCCTGAAGTACCTATCCCACAGTTCCTAGCACATCTGTCTGACACAGAGCATTCTGGGAGATTTTGCAAGGCCACTGATGCATTGTGGGACACTGAGTCAGCAGCTAGTTCAGTGGTTTCATCTACCACCCACTGGCATGAAAACAGTTCTGAATTAGTCAGTATTTAACCCTGGTGAAGCATATTCTTCTCCAAATGGCAATTAGCAGACTTGCAAACCAGCGTGAGCACCTCTGTACTAGTGCTTGGGTGCCAGGGGTGCTATAATTGCTTTAAGGGCAACAACAGCAGTTAGCCTGGCATATTTCAGTAGCGTAGGCAAGTCTTGACAGCAAAGTTATTCTAGGGGGAAAAGGGATAACTCCAGTGGGAGTGGGAAGACTTGCGTTTCTGCAAAATACTCCTCTTCCAACAGCAGTTAAAACACAAACAGATCCTCCTGTGCTCCAGGGGGAAGAAGCTCCCCAGCGTCCTTTGAAATACTACACTTTGCATGAGATAACGCTGAAAAATTGTTGCAGAGTCTGCTCGGTGGAGACAGAAGAGCCCTTCGTTCATACTAGGTGCGAGAGAAGCGCCTGTGTTTGTGCCTCATTCTTCTGTTGATTGTGTATGACTGGAAAGTCCTCTGCCATGCTTTTCAAAAGGGGCCGGTGACTTTGGGGGCCCAACTAGGGTGACCAGACAGCAAGTGTGAAAAATCGGGACGGGGGATGGGGGGTAATAGGAACCTATATAAGAAAAAGACCCAAAAATCGGGACTGTCCCTATAAAATCGGGACATCTGGTCACCCTAGGCCCAACCTGAGACGCCATAAAGGGGCCATCGTCTGAAATGCAGGCCTCTTTATAGTTGGGCTCCCCAAACTTGAAGTTCCCCAAACCACTAATCACATCAGAAATTCTTGGCCACGCTTCTCCCTTGGTTTGAGATAGAGAAATGTCAGGGGTCAGCGGGCGCCCTGGAGCAGCTCCATGTGCACGACAGCTCTGCCTTTCCCGGCCCATTAGGCCCTTCTCATGCAACCTCCCAAATAACATGCTCTTGTTTTCCCCAGGTTCAGCCCGTACGAGTGGTACGACGCTCACCCCTGCAACCCAGGCTCAGACATCGTGGAGAATAACTTCACCCTGCTCAACAGCTTCTGGTTTGGAATGGGAGCACTAATGCAGCAAGGTACGGCTGGGTCCCCCAGACCCCCACCACACACACCCTGCTATTTTCTGTGACCGAGAGAGCTTTTGTTTGGTGCCTGGCTTTTGACAGGAGCAAGTTAAAACATAGTTGTACTTGTCAAAAACAACCGACTGTAGCAAAAAGAATAATGTGGCAGCCCTGGGCCCTGGTTGTCACACAGCGCTAGAGCTGTGGAGACGAGCTATGTCACTGCACGCTGACAAGCACAGACATTGGGTTTGAAATTGTGGAGTTTGTCTCTTAACAATTACAGAAGTGCTTGTCAACACCGGCTTTTTGTCTCCATGCTGGGTAGGCAGTTAGCTGCAGGAACTGGGAGATAGCTCTCTGCTGACAGTTTTACTGCTCATGGTATCCACCGTGGGATGAAATATTTGTCTCTCCTGTTACTCTTTCTGATTGAGATGTACCATACACATATGGCTCGCTCAGATAGAAGCAACTCTCCGGAGAGTTGGTTGGATTTGTGTGTGTTGTATACAATCCAGGGCTTTGTGTTATCCAGCTGCACATGTGCCAGTCAGCCTAGAGCAAACAAGGTCAGAAAGGGGTTAATTAGATAAATGCCTAAGTGGAATTAATCTGATCAATGGAAACCAGCCATGACTTGGAGCTCAGGCGGGTCCTGGGGACTATGTAGGGCATAATTCATTTGCAATGATTTTCGTTTCGTTTGTAGACTCTATTCACTGCTTTGTGTAGCTGGCGGGAAATAGGGGAGAAAGGACGTTAAAACCAGTATGGCAAAGAACTAACCCACCCTGAGATATGAATCCAGATGCCTCAGCCTGAGGCATTGGTACTGAGACACTCCAGAAAGACTGAAAAGTTCCTCATCTGTCACAGGAGGCTGGGGCTGGAGGATTCTTCTTTGCTCACCCAACAGAGACCGGCGTGTTCTTTTTCATCTTATCTCCTCATGAGGGTGGAGGCAGGAGAGTGCTCACCTCCTGCTCTGAATTATCGAAAACAGAGATTGTTTCCACTGTAGAAGTTGCTGTCATTTATTTGCGGAAGCACCTGCCCTGCAGTAAGATAGGCTGAGCTAGCGCAGAATGGAATAAGCGCTTCCATGAGGACTATCAGTTAGAGCCATGCTGCCCAATCTGCCATCAGCAGAGACCTACAGCTTCATCCTTCTCATTATAAAAAAGCCCCCTTTCCATTGCCATGTTCTTCCTACCCTCCAAGTTCTGAAATCGCCTGGACCTGCTGACCTCCTGGGCATGTCGCCAAGCCCATCTGTCTGAGCCGGCCTTGGTGTAGGACCGAGGGAGGTTTCGGTCCGGTGGGAAGTCTGGTGGCAGTGTTAAGCTGTACTAGTCCTGTGATGGGTGACTGGATGGTGCTCAGTAGGGCAGGGGAAAGGAAATGCGGCTGCCGCTGCTTTGGATGGTTTATGTTTGGCAATTCCAGTGTCACATGGAGCTTGACATTAGAGTTTTACACAGATGCCAAGAGTGCCCAGATAAGGTTGCCAACTTTCTCATGGCACAAAACCGAACACCCTAGGCCTGCCCCTTCCCCTGCTCCCTTCTCTGAGGCCCCTTCCCCTCTCCTTCCCCAAGGCCCCGCCCCCCACTCACTACATTCACCCTCCCTTGGTGGCACGCTCTCCCCCACCCTCACTCACTTTCACTGGGCTGGGGCAGGGGCTTGGGGTAGGGACTAGCCTGCCTTAGCACTGCAGCACCGCCAACCAGACCTTGAATGGCCCGGTCGGCGGTTCTGACCGGAGCCGCCAGGGTCCCTTTTCGACCGGGTGTTCCAATCAAAAACTGGTCACCTGGTCACCCTATGCCCAGAGCGTGGAGTGGAGTTACCAGGAGGCCTAAATCGATATAAAGAATAAATAAACTGAGTTACTAAATCTTCGGGGTCCAAGATTCAGCCAGGCCCCAGCCTCACCTCTTTGTATGAGTGAAGTTTTGCACCCCTTATCTTTGTGCCTGTAGTTTATTGTGGATGTGGAATCTCCCATTTAGACAGCTCGGCAACTTACCGACACATGTAAAAAACCAACAATACAGGTGCAGTTTTTATAGGCACAAACTATGTCAGAAATAGGAAATCTGAAAATATACCCCTAAAGGATCAGCTGGAGGTGCATTTTTGTGTTTATATGTGTGTGTGTGTGTGTGTGTGTGAGGATACATTATGTTACAATCCATCTCAGCTGCTTAAATTCACTAGGTGGGGCAGTAGCCCCCCATCTCTCTTTCTCTGGTGACACAGCTTTCATAATTTAAGCAATTCATTTACTTTCAGGAAGATCTAACCTGCTTCACACCATTCACTGGTCATGAGTAGAATCAGCTCTCACACAATGCATGTGGCTGAGGGTGTAATATTTCTTCCCATGTGGTTACTCCATCCTAGCATTGCACTGAAGGGAGAACAGACAATGGACAGATCCTAAAATAACAGAACCTTCTGAGTAAGGCTTTGGTCATTCACTAGGTACCGCATCCAAAATATCAGATGGGTTTCAGCTCAGTGAATTGAGAAGAAGTTAAAAAACTACAAACACATCCACTGATCCTTGGCACAGGTAATTCATTAAATACTCCTAGATAGTAATAGGGCTTCCTGCTGGAACACTCATTTTGATGGACTCCATAGCTGCCAATTAAATAAAGTCCAGTTGAAAGTACCTTCAAACACCTGTTTCCTTAGCTAGCAGTGTAAATGTTCATCACCTAAGGAGAGCTGTATAATGAAAGTACAGTCTATAGTGTCTTTCCTCTCCCACATGTCTTCTCCCCATCCCATCTGTGTCCCAGTCTTGAGGAAGCCGTGCACCATTTGACAAAACATACTAGGGCGCTTTCCCAAAAGGCCCTTCGATGCTATCTGCATAAGTGAATGTTTGAGGGGTTCTTTGATACCATGGTGACAGGAACCTTAGAAACAGGATGGATGGATTAGAGCAGAATTGTTTCAAGGAGAGCAGAGGCTCAACAGGAGACTTCTTTTAATTAGAGTCTTCCAAATTTCAAAAACAAACTTTAAAAGTAAGTAAACTCGACCTGATGATCTGCCAAGGCCCAGCAGTGGGGCACAGTACATGGCAGAGACACAGAGTGTGGGTCATAAAAGAATTACCCATGCAGGAAACAAACAGCGGCAGGATCCCTTCACTTAGTGTGACCAACTCTGTTTATAGCCTCAGTCTCAGGATGCTTTATTCTTTGCTGTGAATAATTTTCTGCAGTCAAGTGCGAGGCCACCATGGAACTTTGGGACTAGAATGGGGGCTGTTTGAGAGGGATGACTGAAATGAGTTCAGAAATACCCAGGTACGTGTCTGTGCAGAGCGGGGTTTGGAGTGCAGCAGTCAGCGGTCCCCTGCCTTACTTGGGTGTCATTGGTCTGGTTGCATATCCAGGAATGAGAGTGACACTGGGCCAGTGGAAGAACAATATCTGACCATTTGTCAGAAAGAGACCTGGGGGGGGGGTAAGTGAGAGAAGTGAAAGAGAAGAAAGACACATGTTTGCGGATTCAGGGGGAAAAAAAGGTTCTTCCAACCAGGTTTTTAAGTTGAAAAGAGAAAGTTTGTACAGAAAGTGTCTAGTGCTTTTTTCAAGACCCTGAACCTCCATTGACAAAAGGCTGTTACCTTGGGAGCAATGCTGTGCTATATCTGCATTGTTGAATCCTACACTGCTCCCTGCCCTGCACACAGTGGGTGCAGCTCATGTCTAGCGCAGGCAGGCACAGCTCCACAGGCTCTCGGTGCCCTAGGAGAGCCCGGGAAACTCACTCCCATCCCACGTGTTACCATGCAAGGTGTTTTTCCTGGTACGGCTCACTCGGCTGGTCCCAGCTCCTTTACAACCTCTGCTGTTCCATTTGGGCTCTTCAGTTGCTTGTCAAGCACCATCTGGTTTTAACATTTGCCCAGATTGGCGCAAACAGTCTGTTTGCGAGAGGCTGGAGCTCGAATGGGAAAGGAGTGCCTGGATTCAGATTGTGAGAGGTGCCAGGGATGGCTGTGTGACTTACTAGGGCTATAAACCCTGCCAGCTTTTCTGTAGACAGAAAACTTCATGCTCAGCTGAAACTTGTCTCACCAACTAATTTCACGTAGGACTTGGTCCAAAGCCCACTAGAGCCAATGAAAAGGCTCCAATTGGATTCATAGCCGTAACCATTTACACCAGAGGCTTGTTCCTCCGAGTTACCCTTGCCCAAACGAGGACATATCATGTGAATTGGCTGTCCACTCAAAACAGTTTGAATTTCAAAGGCGGCATACAGGCAGTGAACTGGGCACAAGGGAGTCCCAGTGCAAGGATTTGTTTGGTGAGTAATTTTTAAGTCAGGAATAAAATTCAAGAAAATTGTGATCTGGTTGCAGACAATTCCGGAATGGAGAAATGAAATGTATCGCGCACATGATTGATGATGAATTATTTCACCCAGATCCACTTATAGTCACAGCAGGGAAACTAAAAGAACCCAAAGCATGAGTTCAGTGACAGCCACAAGAAATATTGTTGTGTGTCCCCCTGCCAGCACTGTAGCATCATTTAATAACGATTCTTCCCAGAGCTGGACAAGGTCAGTATCCAGGGAGACATTGTAGCAGGATGAATCATTCCCTTATTGGATGCAGTTAAATTAGAGGTCCCCTGTGTTGCTTTTAACTCCATTCTACATCTAATTCAAAAATGGTTTTCAAAGCCACGCCGTCAGCTGCACCAAAAGATGAGATGGAATGGAGCAGGAATAACCTCTTGATGAGACAACCTTGCTTCCTGAGGCACCTAATATGGGGGAAATGCTGCATTATGTACCACACTTTAATGCCACACTCCTTACATTGCCTTGCAGAATCCAACTTTCCATGCAAATTCCAGAGCAGAAATGTCATCTGACTGCAGCTGTTTCAAACCCAGCCGCTTTCCCCATTTTTAATCCGTGTCTCACGAGATTGCAAAAATAGCACAGCCCATTTAGTCCTTCATCTCCGTTCAGTCAAAGTCATTCCAGACATGTTACACCTTTCATGCTGTATAGAGTCTCCTACTTTTCTGCCTCCAGCAGCTATTCAAAGTAATGGATCCTGATCATTTCTTTGTTGCACTGTTTGATTTTTTTAAAGCCTTGTGTATTTGAATACTCCCCCTTGAATGAGGCCTTTGAGAAGTAATTCATATAAAAGCAAAGCGCTTTTTAAATGGCAGAGTAAAACACTCATAAAAGTTCATAAATGGCTTGCTATTTAAATCTCATAAAAGCAGCCTAGTTAATTACTTCAGTTTTGAAGGTTTCCTGTAAATTGTGCACTGTACCCAAGGTCAGCAATAAAGAGAGAAAATTCTGCAAATGCTACAGAAAAAAAAAATACAGATTTCCTTGTATGCAAGACGTCTGGGTAATTTGCATTAAAAACAATTGGCGTAATTTGTGCAGTTGTTACAGTTCAGCAATGTGACCTAGTGCTTGAAATATGTACTGTTTCCTTTTTATTTCTTTTCTCTCTTTATTTTCCAATTCCTTTAAGCGGCTTTTCCTACTCTCCCAGGGTCTGAGCTGATGCCCAAAGCTCTGTCTACACGGATCATTGGCGGCATCTGGTGGTTCTTCACGCTCATCATCATCTCGTCCTACACAGCCAACCTTGCTGCCTTCCTGACTGTGGAGAGAATGGAATCCCCCATCGACTCAGCAGATGATCTGGCAAAGCAAACAAAAATAGAGTATGGAGCTGTGAAGGATGGAGCTACCATGACCTTCTTCAAGGTGAGATCAAACATATGCATTCCACCCTCGAGGCAGAAATGCAAACACACAAGGAATGGTACCAAAGCAATGTTCTCAGACCAGAGGGAGTAAGAGCAGAGAAAAACTAGTTATATCACGTAGTCCATTTCCCCTCCTCTTAACGCAAGGTTGTTCCCTCTTGCATCTTTGCTAGGACTTTGTCCACACCCATTCAAAGTCACCCAGGCTATGGAACATCCATAGCTCGCTTCTGCCAGATGCTAATTGGTGTTAGAAATTTTAAATGGCATTGATTTTACAGCTTCAGAGATACAAAGACACTGGGTAATGCTGGCTCAGACGCTCCAGATGGAAGGTGTATTCCCAAATCAAGGCAGAGCTTCTGTGCAGCTTATACTAAACTCCTCCAGAAAGTCTTATTTTCCCCAGGCATCTTCCAGACCTTCACAACTCCCCTAGTCCCTCTCCTCCTCCGGCTCAATGAGAATGCCCTGAAGCCCTTGAAGACAAACTGATAGGCTTCTAGATGAATTCAGAATCAAGAGGAGAGAGATTAAAAATGAAAACTAGAGCTGGACAAATGCTGCAAACACCTTTCCACCTTTTTTTTTATTTGCATTTTTAAGCAACGTCTCTTGCCCCATGTACATTCACTGAAATATTCACATAAGCATGTCTTACTAGCATGAATGTTCTCAAATAGCAAATTTCAAACTTTCTGGGAACTTTCAGACCAGAAACCTGAGAGTTACATTCGCCCAGGCAGGGAACAGAAACAACACCACGTGCCTGATATGACCAACCACAACTAACCAACACAGCTCAAATAGAATGAAACAAAGCACAGGGAATAATTTTGAAGAACAGACAAGTGGTTCAGGAGAAGGCTCAGATCCGCTAACCTTCTGTGGCCCATTTTTCTCACAGGCGCTGAGGGAGGGGGTGGTTTGCACAGAGGAGGTTTTTTTATTTACTCGTAAGAGCATTAGGTAGGGGTTGAGTAGCTATTTATCTGCCTAGGTTGGAATACATAGTCTGTTCCTTGTTACAGTATGAAACTGTCCATTTTTAGTTATCAGGTCTTGTATAGCACAGGATGGGCACCTGCTGATGGTGTTACATCTTTAATAAATCATAAGAATAAACAGCATAAATAAATTCAAGAAAATCATGTTTTCAGACGCAAAGAGATTAAAGTCATCAGATAAACTTACTTCATGGACTGCTAATAAGTAAAAGACCCTTATCTCTGCCTTGGGCCTATTATATACAAAGCTTGTATAGTCTCAGGTTATTCCCTTGCTACAAGGTTTTTGTTATAACACTATTCTTCCCCCATCTCCGAATACATTGGGCCAAATATTTCATCTATGCTAGGGTCAACAGGGTTGCGGAGCTGGAATTTAGGAATCACAAGGAGCTAGAATATTTCCAGGATCATTCCACCATGGTCTTCAGAAAACAATTTAATGCAATTTTCTGCCCACCCCTTCCCGCATGTTTTGGGGGAGCAAGGAAATACAACATGCCAAATGTAGACCCATTCATTGTCCCAGAACTGAACTTTCAGGTGTGACTAGTGATTTGGGGTAACTGACGAGCACCACCTTAAAGGGGCCTGATTCTCAGTGTGTTGGTGTTCAACACTTTCTGAAAACCAGGCCCCGTGAAGGTGTCTCACGATGCACATTTAAACCCCAGTCTACAAGTTAGCTGGTGTGTGACTGACAGCACGGTTCCGATCATGTTCCCAAGACTAATGCTAAAGGCACAGGGTGGACACAAGCCATGGAGAACAAACATCAACCAGTTTTCAGTCAAAATAACAGTTGTTGGGACACAAACAGAAGGTTCAGCACATGTTGAACTTGCTGCAGAAGCATTGTCCAAGTGGCATGGAAGAGCTTTACTCTGCCTAACAATAGACCTTTGGGGTTTCCACCCTCTCCATCACACTCTCTCTCAAATCCAGACAGATAGCAAGAGTAAGTAATTTCCTGCTCTAATATGAAGCATATTAAAGAAACAGGAACCCAACAGATACCTTCATTCAGGAAATAATAGAACAATAGCATCTGGTAGGACTCAGAGAGTAACTAGCTACAGTGACATACATCCAACCTGTGTTAATATTTTATCAAGCACTAAGCGCCTTGGAGAAAAAGACCCATGGCAAAGGAAAGGGGAAGAAAACAAAACAACAAACCCAAGCAGAAAACAAACCAGAGAAAAGGAATCTGATGCCTGCTTTGTCTCTTGGCAATTCCATGTTAAGGCTTTTAGGCCACACCTATGAAAGTCCATGCAGTGCAATGCCTCCAATACATTGCAACCACATCATGGAAGGCGAATTACATGAATTCCTTCCATTTAAAAGGAAATTAATTTTAGAAGTTGTCCGACACAGCAGAGAACATGCAAAGAGCTGTCGCATTTTACTGCTGCTTAGAAGATGAAAATTAATTAAGAGATTTAAAAAAGTCTTTGAAACCACAATTGGGTTGTAAAAGTATGTGTTAAAAACGAGAGAGAGGGAGACGATAAAGGAGAGTGGGAAATGGGGAGGAAATTATCTAGGAATTAGCCTCCTTTGCGAACATGACCTGGTTTTTATGTTTTGAGGATGATTTTTTAATATTCCCTTGCAAGGAAGAGATTGAGACTGGAGAATGCAGGCTTTTACTCTGTGCCACTGGTATCAGTCACAACCAGGAGGGGATGTTAGACCCCGATTCACCAAAGCACATCAGAGCTTAGAAAGGGAAAGTTGTTAGCTCTGATGACTGTCTGTCTGGTGGCCAGTGTAAAAGGAGATCCCAATCCAGCCACTGGGATCACACTGACACTTACCGAACCCCCATTACTATCATGTTTGAATACCTTGCCATCCTTAGTGAATGTTATCCTCATAACACCCCCTCGGGTGGGGAAATCCTATCCCCGTTTTCACAGCGGGGGGACCTGAGGCCCAGCGTAGGTGAAATGACTTGCCCAAGTTCATGTAGAAAGTCCACAGCTGACCTGGGAATTTAAACCAGGTCTCCTCAGTCCCAGTCTAGTGCTCCAGCCGGTTCCGATCACATAACAGACCATTTGCATGGATTACTCTGGTGTAGGTGTTTTTGATACTGCGCAGCTGCCGATTAAACCATGTGGCAAAGAACCAGATTTGTGATTGATCTTATATAGTCAAGCACAGAATTATAGCCTTGAAGAGGGAATGACAAATATTATCATTATTATATTTTGCCCTTGTTTAAAGATTTCCATCCAAGGATCTCAATACACTTTCTCACGATAAACATTAAATGTAAGGTAAAGGGTGAGTGCTCTGTGTGGGTAAGCCATGAATTCCCTGCTAGCAGGGAGATGCCAGGATTCAGAGAAATGAGGACTTTGATTGTTTGGATGGTGAAAATGTGACTGCTTTTCTGATCTGGTTAGCAAGCTAACGGTAGTGAGAAATGTACCTTTCCCCAACCCCTTTACACCTTCCTATCATTTCAATTCAGCTGGAAATATATGGACCAAAACGTGACAAAATATTTCACAGCTTAGAAGCCAGGTTGTGCCTGGAATACTGTATGACGCTGAATGGGTGCAATATAATAGCATTTAGATTAGCCAGTCAGCAGTTTAATAGCCAAGACTCATTAAAGGGAGCTGGTGCTCTGAATTTTAACAAGAAGAAAGAGCAGAACATTTCCCTGCAGATTCACAGCCTGCTGTTGGCTATGACAATGGTGGCCAGAAGTTATACTTTCCAAAGCCCGTGCTTAGTTTGACAGGCAGCAGATGTGCCTTCATAAGGAAATAGGATTTTTTTTTTTCCCGGTACAAACATTGCATAGAATTTCAAACTCCAGCCACTCGGTGTCAGTCTGCTTTTTGCAGCAGAGTCTGCGTATGCAGGCTCCTCTTTAGCATGAACAGCCATATCGTGTTACCTTCGTGTTTATTTCTATGTGGAAATAAGTGTGTGTGTGTGTGTGTGTGTGTGTGTGTGTGTGTGTGTGTGTCCCCAGTATCTTTATAGCTTCTTAGCCGTCTCCATCCCACACATTCTTTGGTTCCTGTCATGCATCTGTCAGAGTCTGTTTATGTTCCACCGCATATTTTATTTTTCTGTGTTACGATTGGAAAGAGATGAATTCTCAGGGCTGTTCCCCCCCGAGATGGGCTTTGTTTGCTGGAGCAGCCGAAATGCTCCTGTGGGACGCTGTGTGTTTGTCGTTCCTGGAAAGAGAAATGTGGTTCAGTTTCCTTAATTGTCATCCAGACGCTCCCACCCCAAACTCTGGCCCAGACCCTCGGTTGGTGTAATTCATCAGCCCCCACCATGACTTCAGTGCAGCTATGCCTGTGTACACTAGCTGGGGATCTGCCCCAGTGTTTGCAAGACACCTGCTCTTGGTTCTGTTCACTGGGGATGATGCTGTGGCAGCCGTTCTCGAGACCCAGGGTCCTGCGTAACAAAGTTCCTGGGCAACTGGAGACGAAGTGCATGCGAGTTGTGTGATACAGATCGTCTTCTGGACAAACCGAGAAGGGCAGCCTCTGATGTCTATTTCATGGCATACCAGCCTTGAAGGGAACCAGACATCGCATCCTGCTCGCTGCAGGAAAAATGCCCCATGATTGATTGATAGGAGATCCCCCTCTGAGATTATCACCCCTCCGCTTCTCCGTGACTAGCTCTAAAAATTCCACTCAGCCTGGGAATCTGTATTCCCAGCTCCCCTGCTGCCCAGTTTGCTGCGGCTAGCGTTGTCGTTTGCTAACTGCATTATGAAGACACAATATGTCACTTTGGTTTGCAGCTTCTATAGCCTGTAGGAATGTCACAGAGAATTGCTGATGAGGGCCAGGACAGGAACATCTGCTGCTGCAAGGAGTGCACAATCAAGGTGCTGTCACTTGTGGAGGAAATGGAAGCATAAAGAAAAGGAAGGCAAACGCCTCCTCCTGCTAGCTGATGTCCCTATCTGTAGGCGGGGGGACATCGGCCCAGACTTTGA